TGGCCCCAGGAGCTGTTTGCCATAATGTGTTAGTGTGTATAGCATATTAGTACATTATGGTTGACTTACCTGCAGAAGTAATCCCCTTCAGCGCTGCTCCCTTTAGTCACCTGTGCTTCCATCTCCTTACCGATTAAGTCCTTGGCTGCTTAATTTGCCTGGTGCATGCACACAGGAGTTACTTCCTCTCGGCCAATACCCTGCTTTCCTCATAAAATCCACCTTGACAGGAAGGAACTCCTGTCTAGATATTAAGTCAGAGGAGGGTGCTCTAGAGGGAGCAGAGGAGGATCCTGATGCTAGCAGCGAACACAAAAAGAAGCACAGCATGGGACTAAAAGTAATAGTAAAACTGATGTGACTGTCGGCTTTACAATATAAGCGATTCTGGCAGCTCAGCTGCCACCAGAACACTTCTACGAGCCGGTAAAGTGCCCACCCGTCGCCGTGTTTCCCAGGCTCTGCTGCCGCTCCTGCGGGCCCAGCCTGTTGGGTGCCGGCGGAAGCTGGGGAGGAGTGCGGTTCACTGTTCACTGATTTCCTCCACACTCTATGTGGACTGGGAGCAATTACATTACTTCCGCTCCTTGAGCTGTCATTGCCCGGCTACTGAAGCCTAGTAATAAGCTATTTATGTGCGATCTGCACTTCAATCGCTTATTTAAAGTGGAAAGGTGACACTAGGGGTCTATTGGAGTCACAGAGAGACACCGATGTTTAGGTTCATTCCAGTAATATTAAAGACAAAAGGTTTTTATGCCATTTCAAATTCTAATGAAATCACCTAGAGTAAATGCTGCTTTTTCAGGTTTGAATGTTTTGCTTTCCTACAGAATCAGCCTGTGCTGAGCAGTGGCCACGATATCCTGTTTTAAGATGCCTTTCTCTTAAAGGGTCCTATGGAGTCACCCTTGTGTGTGTGCTAGTAAGTTGTGTGTCTCCACAAACACACTAGTAAAATATATCACCAGCACACTGAAGCAACAAGTGGTCATTTTATTGATGTACACACCTCGTCACAACGTTTCGGGGCCACTCAGGGTCCCTTCATCAGACATGAATGACACAAACACACAGGCACAAGGCAAGACACTTCTGTACTCCGTTAGTATATGGACAGCTGCTGGAGACTGCCCTGCCCCTTGTAATCTCGGACTGGACAGGAAAATCAGGGAAGTGGAGCTGAGAGAGAGAGTTGGAGCTGTTTAGAAACATGATGACCAAAGTGTTTGGGCAAAAATATAAAAAATGCTTTGCTGGGCAATGTAGATTTGTTTGATTTGGATTTGTTATTGGAAAAAAATGTTTGAGTTTAACTCTTTCAGTCTAGAAGTGTTTACCCAAACTAGAAATGTCTGCATCCCCGGTCTGTTTAGTCTGGTTTTATGCAGCTAAACACACATTTAGCCCGGCAACAACTAAACACAGAAAAGTGATCTGGGAAGCACAAAGTTGTTTATACCTACCAGATAACGTCTTGTGTTTAAATGCGGCCGGCTAATGTGCATGAGGCCTAAAAGTCCTGAGACGAGAGACCGCGGGTGCATCTAGTCCTCCTGGGATCTCCAGCAGTAGCACCTCCCAATGTGATGACATCACCATAGATTCAGTCCTGCATGTTACATCACTATTTTGTCAGGAGCTTGTCTGACAAAGAAGCAAGCCCCTAACCAAGTTGAGTGACACAACATAGTCTTTTTACACCAGAGAGATAGGAGTGCTGCACTGACAATTATCTGAAAAGGAGTTACCAGAGTGTTAGCGGGGTTGCTCTTATTTAAATTAATTAAAAGGGATGGTAAGCACAGTTTTATTTTTAATATATAGCCTTCTTTTCAGAAGTTGAGTCGCCAAACATCTCCCAAACCCAAAAATGTAATGTGTTGCAGTTCATCTGTCCTGAGATGTGGTGGCTGCATTTGCTTTGTTTGTTAGGTTCCCCCTCCTTTCTCACCTGTTGATTTTTCAAATAAACACACACAAGCCGAGTCAGTTTGTTTCTGCTGGTCTAGCAGCATATTTGGATTGTTTTTTCTCTGACTGCTAGGAATCTGCATGTATCCTGAGATTTATGTCCAACACGCTTTTTATGCACCTCTTTTGTGAGTACCATTTATCACTTTTAATCTTTCTAAGCAAATAAAAGGATTATTTGCACCAAGAAAGGCAGCCGGTGTTTCTTTTTTATGATTGAATAAGTAGTTTACAGAAGAAATAAAGTTGGTTGTGCTTTCTGCTTCCCTTTCCGGAAGTGACAAGGACACATTTCTGGCACAATCAACATGTAATTTTTTGTACATGCGGAAAATGTTTTTAGCCTGAAAAAAGAAACCTAATGCATCCACATACACTATACTGCCAAAAGTATTGGGACACCCCTCTAAATCATTGGATTCAGGTGTTCCAATCACCGCCACAGGTATATAAAACCAAGCACCTAGGCATGCAGACGCTTCTACAAACATTTGTGATAGAATGGGTCGCTCTCAGAAGCTCAGTGAATTGAAGCGCAGTACCGTGATAGGTTACTACCTGCGCAATAAGTCCAGCCGTGAAATTTCCATGCTACTAAATATTCCCCGGTCACCTGTTAGTGGTGTTATAACACAGTGGAAGCAACTGGGAACAGCAGCAACTCAGCCACGAAGTGGTAGGACACGTAAAATGACAGAGCGGGGTCAGCGCATGCTGAAGCGCAGTGTGCAGAAGTCGCTAATTGTCTGCAGAGTCAATAGCTACAGACCTCCAAACTTCATGTGGCCTTCAGATTGGCACAACAACAGTGCGTAGAGAGCTTCATTGAATGGGTTTCCGTGGCTCAGCAGTTGCATCCAAGCCTTACATCACCAAGTGCGATGCAGTGGTGTAATGCTTTACGGCGCCACCGGACTCTAGAGAAGTGGAGACGTCTTCTCTGGAGTGACGAATCACGCTTCCCTGTCTGGCAAGCCAATGGACGTGTCTGGGTTTAGCGGTTGCCAGGAGAATGGTACTTGCCTGACTGCATTGTGCAAGTGTAAAGTTTGGTGGAGGTGGGATTATAGTGTGGGGTTGTTTTTCAGGGGTTGGGCTTGACCCCTTAGTTCCAGTGAAGGGAACTCTTAAGGCATCGGCATACCAAGACATTTTGGACAATTTCATGCTCCCAACTTTGTGGGAACAGTTTGGGGATGGCCCCTTCCTGTTCCAACATGACTGCGCACCAGTGCACAAAGCAAGGTCCATAAAGACACGGGTGAGCGAGTTTGGGGTGGAGGAACTTGACTGGCCTACACAGAGTCCTGACCTCAACCTGATACAACACCTTTGGGATGAATTAGAGTGGAGACTGCGAGCCAGGCCTTCTCGTCCAACATCAGCACCTGACCTCAGAAATGCACTTCAGGAAGAATGGTCAAACATTGCCATAGACACACTCCTAAACCTTGTGGATGCCTTCCCAGAAGAGTTGAAGCTGCTATAGCGGCAAAGGGCGGAGCCAACTCAATATTGAACAGTACAGACTAAGACTGGGATGCCATTAAAGTTCATGTGCGTGTAAAGGCAGGCGCCCCAATACTTATGCCAATCACACAGGCGTCCCAATACTTATGACACACACACACTTATCCTTTAACATTGCTGAGTTCCTAAGAACATTCATATTTCTGTTCACCAACAAAGTAGTAAAGTAATTTATTTTAAACAACAAGATGTCAGAAGAGAAAAAAATCTACCTAAATTTTTTTTTTTTTAAATCTTTTTACATCTTTTCTAATTATTCACCCAGCTACATGTAACAGCTACATACAAAAAGTTATAAAATCGCTTCGGTTTAACAATAAAAAATAAACTCAACTGAGAGGTGGACTTGCTCCCTTAAATATCATAGAACTTGGACTAAGGGCCACCATACAGGTTACAATCTGACCATACAACCTCTGTACCAAAACTATGCAATACGAGGATCCACCTAATGTATCCAATCAATTTGTATGCGGTCAGGCAGATCCTTGCGCTACATGCTTGCTGGCAGATCTAAAGGAGATGGTACAATCAGATTCTAAGGTGTGTGTGTGGCGAGCTTAAGAGCGAGTGCCTGTGAAGAATAGTAATTTAGAAGTTACCCACCCAGTATCTGTTGTCTAGCATTATTCAACACCCCTGAATGACTTCATAAAATGATAAAGCTAAATAATTTACTGGAATAGGTTGAAAGCATAACAAAAAAAGTCAGAACAATGTTGAACAGTGCAATGCACCCACCATTTCAAGTGAACTTGGTCCAAAAAGGGGTAGGGGAATCTTTAAAAGGAGAACACCATCAAGTTGGGGCCAGCGGAAGAGTATGCATTTTTATACTGAACTCTATCTTTGTTTCAATGGCATAAAGAATTAGTCCAAGCGAATCTCAGACTTCATCATCCTGTGCCTCCCTCGTCCCAGAGGTCGGATTTACCATACGGAATGACTCTTTCGGAATTAAAAAAGCACAAACCCGACCAGACCTCAAAAACAATTGGTTCTGGCAAGCAAAGGGGCACAGGGGTGACTAGTTCACAAATTTATACTACAATGAACTCTGCCTTATTGAGAAAACCAGTCACCCTTGAAGCCTATGTGAGAATCTGAGCATTCAGTCTGATGACAAATCTGCAGGCTATGCAATGTTGGCTTACTTTGTGGAGGATGACCAGACCTGTGGCTACCCGTCAGCTGCTACATGGCCTTTATCTGACAAAACCAACCTTTCCCTTAGTATCACCTAACAGAATAAAAGCCCTGTAGGTAAAAGGAGTCTAAACTACAGGACTTTGTGATACTGTTGTGGTGCAAAGGAGCTGGAGGACAGCATGTGTTATCAGCATTAGCCCATGTAGTTCATCAGGCAACAACTTATCAGACCTCTGGGACCCTGGCACCTCTGATTTGTAGCTCAAACAATAATCCTGATGAAACTAGGTGAACTCACTGAGGGAACATTTAGATCCATCTAAGCCTAGCTCTTCAGATTCTTACATAAACCTACTTCTGGCGGTTTTAAAGGGGGGGGGGAACAAAATATGAGAGGGGGAGTGGGGGGAAAAAAAACATTCCCTAAAATAACACACATCCACCCTATATTTATGTACAGTAGGGGAAAAGGAATGGAGATAAACAAGATGAAATGGAGGCAGTGGGTGAGCAGCTGGGCATTTAGCTTGTTCTAGAACTTCCCTCCAGTCTGCTGTTGGAACACATCAATTGTATCTTCATCCTCCATCTCCAACTACAAAAAAAAAAGCACAAGAACAAAAAGCGTTGTCACAATACAGTAGTCACAATTCTGTAGTATTTCCATCGACCTGTTTGAAGAGAATTGACAACTCACATACACCTTCTGCTTATAAATTGGATTTTCTGGTTTTCTTTTCACATGTTCTACCGGTAGCCATGTGACAGTCTGGATACCAAAATGGCACATTGCCTTTTATAAATGCTGTAGTGTCACACTAAGTGCTGCTTGTTGAAGTCAAGCTTCTGTTGCTGCCAAATCACTTACTGAAATAGGTTGAAGTAGATTGTGATTAATATATATTTCTCCATCGATCTATATACAGTATATCTCATTGTGCTACCTTTCATAGAGAGCTTTAGATGTTCTAACTTTTACTACTTCAATGCATTCCTACTAATTTAATTTTAAAGCAAGGAGGCAGTGCAGTAGTAGAAGCTAAATGTTATCTATTTCCAAGAACAAAAATGTTAATATACTGCAGCATACCAACCCTAAAATGTGGTGGCTGATTTGGTTGTCTTTTTTGTTCACTTTGTTTCCAGTAACACTTCCTGTAATACTGCGACAACGCTCACTTATTGCACTATATTAACCACTTCAAGACCAGGTGTTTAGACCCCTTTCCTGGCCAGGCCATTTTTCAGTATTCAGCGCTGCGATACTTTGACTGACGTTTATTCCGTCATGCAACGCTGTACTGAAATGAATTTTACACCATTTTTTAGGGACAGATAGAGCTTTCTTTTGGTGGTATTTAAATCACCACTGGGGGTTTTATTTTTTATTATAATTAGAAAAAATTACTGAAAATTTTGAAAAAAAACAACTTTTTTTTAACATTATGTTAGAAAACATTTATTATTACCAAGTTTTTTGGTAAAATATAAAAGTTCGGGTCACGTCGGTTAAATAGACACCAAACATGTCAAGCTTTAAAATTGCACGCACCCGTGACATCGCAGAAAACGACCGCAACCAAAATTAGCCATAGGCGACGCTTTAAACGTTTTTACCGCTCATCAGTTTAGTGTTATCAGTGATTGATGGCCCTAGACTTATTGCTCTCACTGCGACGTTCGCGGCGATATGCAACATGTGCGGCGTAATGGGCGCAATCGTCTTTTTT